TCTTGCTCTAGGATCCTAATGAGTCTTAGGTTGTTTCTCTTGATAGTGTCCCACATCATATTCAGGCTTTATTTGGATTCCTTTCCTTATTTTTGCTGATTCTTTCTCTCACTAATTCTAGTCAGTGATTGTCTTTGAGCTCATGGATTCAGTTTTCCTCTTCTTCCATTCAATTCTTCAGATATTTTAGTATGTTGCCTAATTCTGATATCTCATTGCTTATCTTCTGGTATTCCTTTTGGTCTAAGGATTTTAGTTTTTAAATTTCTTCCATTGTCCTCTTGAATGTTTTCTACATCTCTTGAAGGGACCTAAACATCATTCTTCTGACTTCTGTTTCTGGTAGTTTCAGGGCCTCTTTTTCAGAGTACTTTAGGTTTGGGTGATTTTGTGTTGTTTGTATTTGTTTTTCTTAACTGTGGATATCTGCAATAAGCTCCCCACACATTCTGCTATCCACGCAGGGCCTCAAAGTCCAGTGAAGGTCAGAGGTTTGACTGCCTCCGTTGCCTTAGGGGCTGAGGAAAACCAGCTGTTCCAAGGGGGAGAAGGGCACACAGAAGTGGCTCGTGTCCCTGGTCAATGGTTAAGCGGAGTTTGTCAGCAGGCATTGCTGCTCTCCCACGTTAAGAAACTTAGGTCTACTTAGCTTTTAAGTTGATTTTCTCACCTCCAGGAGGTGCAGGATGTCCCTCCTCATGAAACCTCTCTGGTAGTCGTTGAGGAGATCTCCCTATGCTTGTTATCTGGTGGCCATCTCCCCTCGCCCCACCCCAATCTCTGTTTATCAATTTTCTTATCATGTTTTCAATCCTATTGTTTTAGTTCTTACTATTATTTTCCTCTCTTTTGATAAGATTATTGGCAAAAAAATTCCTGTAAATTTTATATTTCTTCCCAATTATTCTATTTTAAAATGTTCTAGGCTTTCTCTCCATTTGGAAGTTCTGTGACCACACTATTTATTCATTCTGTTTACTTTGTAATTGTCTTCATTGACAAATTGATATTGATTCACCATTTTCAGTATTGTAGGTTTGTTTTACTTTGGATACTTTTATATCTAGGTTGATGTGGCAGTTACATAATCTCCGGTTAACTTGTGAAGAGGTGGAGTCTAGCCTGTTAATCAGCTCACAACTTGGTGAACTCATTTGGAGGCTTGAAGAAGAAAAATAGCTCACTGGAGGTCAGATACACTCTGCTTTTCTCCTGGCAAGACATTCCTGTTGACAAGCTACATGGAGCTACGCTGATGAAGACAGAGGCTTGGAGCTGGAGGAGCCACATGGAGACCCACACCAACACTAAGATGCTTCCACCACCACTGGATCCACAAGACTTTGCACCCACTGGCCTGTGATCTTCCTGCACTCGGTGCCATTGCATGTGTTATGTGAGTCTGAAGAGGACTTTATGGATTGGTATCAGTCATATGGGCTAATATTGGACTTATGGACTTGATTTGGACTGGGATGGGATGTTTCCTCAATATACAATTGCTCTTTTATAGACACCTCTTTCTTATACACATATGGGTCTCCATGAATTTGTTTCTCTAATCAACCCAGACTAACAAAGTTGACTCTGAGTTGTCATATGTGTTAATTTCAGGTTGCTTTGTCCTGTGGTTGGTTCTCTGTGTGAAGAACTCACTTTTTATTTCTTATAAGGTTTGTCTTGTTTCTTTCCACTCCCCCAAATTCCTTAAATCCTTTCATTTCTGTTATTTGGAAATGCCCTAATTTCATTGTTATATTTGAAGGAACATTTTGCTTGGACAAAATTCTTGGTTGGAAATTTTTAGCTTCAGAATTTTAATTTGTTATTCCATTGCCTGCATTGTTTCTCTGGCCCAACAGTTGATGCTGATGCATAGTGATCCTATAGGACAGAATAAATCTTCCTGGTGAGTTTCTGAGACTGCAGCTCTTTATGGGAGTAAAAAGCCTCCTCTTTATCCTGTGGAGCTGTTGGTAATTTTGAACTGCTGACTTCAAAGTTAGCAATCCAATGCATAATCACTATGCCATCAGGGATCCTTAACTAAAACTAGGGATAGGGGAAACAGAAAAACAAAAAAGACAACAGTAAACAAAACATATATTAAATGGGAGTGGGAGAAAAATAGAATAAAGCAGAGAAAGGAAAATAGAAAGGAAAGAGTAAGAATAAAAAAAGAAAAACACAAAGAAATATGTAAATGGGAGTGAGAAAGGGGCAGGACCCAGCATGTCAAAACTGTGGGGGGTAGGTAGGTCACCTGATATAGGTCTGTCATGGAGGGCAGAGGAGATGGAAAGGGCAGGACTTCCAGTCCAAGATGGAGCTCTTGCTGGCTCAGGCTACCTGATCTGGAAGTAGCTCTGCAATTTCTGAGGGTGACTGGGATCAGGGTTCTTAGTTTGGAAAGAAACTCTTCTAGGGCTAGAGGGCAGCTGGTCCAGGACAACTGGTTCTGGAGGAGTCCCTACCGCACAAGATGTGACCGATGGCAGATTCTTATTCTAGCACCATAAATTCTATTGGTTGGACATAGCGTGGCATGTACCAGCACCTGATCCATGAGGGTGCATGTCTAACCTCAGATATTGCAAGCAAGTGCGTGCGTGCGTGCGTGCGTGCGTGTGTGTGGTGGGGGTGGTGTCACCATGAGCCCCTGAATGGGTAAGGATGGGGGCTGATTGCCAGGAGAATGTGGGGAAGAAGGGAAAGATTACACCTTTCTGGTTGCCAGCCATTGGTGTGGAAACTGCTTTCAAAAGTTCAAAAGCCCACATGGAAGAAGCACACCAGCCTGTAAGATGACAAGGCGGCGAAGGGGTCAGGTATTAGGCATCAAAGACCAAAAAACCCCCAAAATCATAACATTGTGAATGAGGGGGAGTGCAGAGTGGGGACCCAGGGCCCATCTGGGGGAAATTGGACATCCCCTTACAGAAAGGCTGCGGGGAGGAGAGGAGCAAGCCAGGGTGCAGTGTAGTAACGATGAAATATGCAATTTTCCTCTAGTTCTGAAATGCTTCCTTCCCCCCACTACCATGATCCCAATTCTACCTTACTTATCCGGCTGGACTGGAGGATGTACACCGGCACAGATAGGAACTGGAAATACAGTGAACCCAGGACAGATGAACCCCCCAGAACCAGTGGAGAGAGTGGCGATAGCGGGAGGGTGGAGGGAAGGAGAGGGAGAAAGGGGGAACAGAGGACAAGGTCTGCATATGGCCTCCTCCCTGGGGGACGGACGGCAGAGAAGTGAGTGAGGGAGATGTTGGATGGGGTAAGATATGATAAAATAATAATAATTTATAAATTATCAAGGATTCAGGGGGAGGGGGGAGCAGAGAGGGATGGAAAATGAGCTGACACCAAGGGCTCAAGTGGAAAGCGGGTGTTCTGAGAATGATGAAGTCAACATATGTACTAATGTGCTGGACACAAATGACGTATGTACGGATTGTGATGAGTTATATGAGCCCCTAATCAAATGATTATTTAATAAAAATAAAAATAAAAAAGTTCAGAATGGCTACATTGTGTCACCTGTTTTGTCTCTCTCCTCTTTGGCCACTTTGGTTCAGCTGCTTCTCCCAGTCCATATTCAGTCCGTTCCTTTGTCTTTTCCTCTGAAGCTCAGAGTTCCAAGTTCATCGGTTTCACTTGGTCTCATATGACTTTGTTGTAGAGATTCTGGGTAGAGTGTCTGCCTAGTCTGCTATCTTATGGGAAGTCTTCAATCCTTATGTTCTTAAATAGCTAGCTTGGTAAAAATAAAATTTCCTGGTTCTATTTCCTGTTTTATTTTTTTAAGAAGCTTTAGAATATTTTCATTCTTGGTGTTCTGCAAGCTAATCATTTACTTATTAATACGCAAAGTTATTGATAATATAAGTTTATTTCATTAGAATGGGTCAAAAATAATGTTTATATTTTTAACAAGTTGAGTGCTATCTATTTTCAGGCACTATGCTATACAGTATAACATATGTTGTCTTTTCTTTATCCTTATACCAATTTCATTAGATATAATACTGCCATATATAGCTACATTATTTGAATATTAGAATCTCTTCTAAAGATACTCTAGTACTTAATAGTAGTAAATAGCAAGCAAGAATTTGGTCTCAATTTTTGGTTCACCACAGCCTTTGCAAACATTTTCATAGTTTCGTATCTACTCATAAACCCATGTAATAAGTACTTCTCCAATGAAAGCATTGTCATACCATGTTATAGTTGTAAAGAAATCAATAAAAGTAAAGTTCAATTCCCGGCTTGAATATCGAGTTTGTGATCTGTCCAAGGGTTTATTGTGGGCTCTATTTTACGCAGATTGACTATGCTCAGGAATTACATGACCAGGAAGCTTTGTAAGACAAATAAGGTGGTAAGATCAGGTTTGGCATTAGAATACCTGGTTTTTAAGTCCTGGATTCACACCTTTATTGGTAAAGGTAAAACTCCCTTTGGAACTCATTGCCACTGTTTTGATGCTGACTCATAGCGGTCCTCTAGGACAGGGGAGAACTGCCGCTGGGAGTTTCTAAGACTGTAACTTTATAGAAAAGAGAAAGACCCATATTTCTCCTGAGGAGTAGCTGGTGGTTTTGAACTGCTGAATTTGCAGTTAGCAGCCCAATGTGTAACCATTATGTTTCCAGGGCTCCTGTGATTATAAGTAAGCAAGGAGAAAGACAGGGTTTCCTACTCTCCTTTAGAGTTACAATCTGGAAACAAACAGGGACATTTCTACCCAATCCTATGGGGTTACTATGAGTTGGCATTGACTTGAAGGCAGTGAATATAATCTCAAAGGTCCAGCTTATTTTTATACAAAGTAAGGATAATTGCAGAATCTTTCTCTAAGGATTGTTGAGGTGAATGGATAAAATAATACACAGGAAGTGCTTGGCTCAACCTGGCCCAGAGTAGATACTCACTAAGTATCAATTGTCATTGTTATTCTTTTTAGTAACACCTTAGGATGTCATACATACCTTCAGACCAGGATTTTTCCTCATCCTTAGTCTTCCCATCCACATATCAGTCAACAGCATCTGGCTGCAGGTGTGGGCTATGAAGTCTCGGTGTTTGGCTGCAACAGCTAGTTTGAGGCAGGTTGAGTTGCTCCAGTTTTTCAACTCATAAGTCAGAAGTTTCATGGCGATCTGCTCATCATGCTTGTAGGACTGGTCCAACAACTCCACAGCAAGCTGGCCAAAGTCTCTGAAGAAAAAGAGATGAAATAGGCATAAAGCCAGATTGGCCACAAATCTTTTCTAACGATAAATATCTATAGGAATATTATGGAGACACAGAGACTTGCGACGTTCTCTACAAAGCAAGAAATTAAAAAGTTATGTCCCTGGCTGCTGGCAATGCAGCCTGGGATAGGGAATGTATTGGAGCTGACTATAAATGTGGGACAATTCTTACCATAAATATAACTTTAATGACCCAAGATATGTCCCTCAGACCCCCAGGCACAGAAAAGAGACATAGAAGTTGCTTTCCTCAAGGAGTTCAGAGCCAGGACATTGATTATTGTTAGCTGTACATAGTGACACTATGTACAATAGAACAAAACAGTGCCTGGTTCTGTGCCAGGCGTGTTGTTGTGTGCCATCCAGTCAGTTCTGACCCACAGCAACCACAGCAGCAGAATGAAACTGCCCGGTCCCTCACCATCCTCACAATGTTTCCAGTGCTTCAGCCCATTATTGTGGCCACTGTGCAAAAATCTAATTGAGGGCCTTCCTCCTTTTCCTCTCCCCTGTGCTTTCCCAAGCATGATGTGCTTCTCGAGGGACTGCCTCTCCTGACAATGTGTCCAAAGCATGTAAGACAAAGCCTTGCATCCTTGCCTCTAGGAGCACTCTGGCCATACTTATTCCAAGACGGATTTGTTTGCCCTGCTGGCAGTGCATGGCATTTCCAATGTTCTTCACCGCCACCACAATTCAAATGCATCAATTCTCCTTTGCTCTTCCTTATTCAAGGTCCGATTTTCACATGCGTACGAGGCAACTGAAAATACCATGGTCTTCAAAGTAGCATTCTTGCTTTTCAGTACTCTAACGAGGTCTGTGCATCAGATGTACTCTATGCAATGTGTCTTTGATCTCTTGGCTACTAAAAGGTAGTACCTCTCTATGTATTTCCTTAGGGAAAGTCATGCCATTGTTTGTATTAAATTTGTGTTTTAAAAGTTTGCATGAAAAGGCAGTGAATAAAAACAAGGCCTATCCAGAAATGTAGGACTATTTGAGAAGCATCAAGAAACCTATTGACATGATGGGAAAAATAATTCATGAATAAACATTAGATATTATCATACTAAGTTAGAAGTACATTTTGCCACCCCTCCTTCAAAGGGACAAATACTCAGGTCAACAATGTCTCTTGGTCTGTAAGTTCCCTCTGTACACTAACTTTGAGTTGTTGTCCAAGTCCTGGGAGATGTCATCCACCAGCTCGCTCTCGGAGGACTCCTGGGCCATGGCTTTGTAGAGTTTGCAGGCCACTAGGGCTTTGGCCATGCTCTCCTCACCTCGCTGCCAGAGGAAGACTGCCATTTTCTGGCGTTTCATGAGCACGGCCCACACCATCAGCTCATTGAAAGGGTACTGAAAACGACTCACTGAAGGGTCGTCCAAATCAATGTCGATTTCTTCCTCCTTTTTCTTCTTTTTCTTTTTCTTTCCTTTGGCTGGAGGCTCATCATCCTGAGGGAAGAAGAGCACATTTGCCGGGGTTGGCCAAAAATATGCAGCAGTGTTTCTGAACTACTGCCACAAAGAATAACCTTTTTTCAGGGGTAATAGACTTCTTTTTATTTTATTTTATATCATTTTATTAGGGGCT